TTCTGCTCAATGGTAACCCTAAACTCTAGATATTGGGGGATTCATCGATGGAACTGGCATTCAATATCAAATGGTGATGGTTAGATTCTCTCTTGTTGGAGATGATCATTTCCTGGCACTTGTGTAGTGCAAATAGTATTTCATACTTACCATCCCAAGCCTGAATAAGTCATAGAAACATTGAAAATAGATGCAGCAGTGGGCTATTCAGCCCTTTGAGCCTACTGCACCTTTAAATATGATCATGGTTGATCATCCAACTAAGTACCCTGTTACCAATTTCTCCCCATACCCTTTGATCCCTTTAATCCTAGGAACTATATCTAACTCTTCTTTTAAACATTCAGTGTTTTGGCCTCAACTACTTTCTGTGGTCAAGAATTTCACCGGTCTACCACACTGTGTGAATAAATTTCTTCTGAACTCAGATCTAAATGTCTCAACTTATATCCTTCGACTGCGACCCCTGTTTCTGAATCCCTGGTCATTGGGTAGATACTACAGTTATCCTGTCTAGATTTATTAGAATTTGATGTTTCTAGAAGATCTCCCTCATTTTCTAAAGTTCAGTGAGTATAGTCCTAACCGAACCAGTCTCTCTTTATATGCCAGTCCTGCCATCCCAGGAATTAGTCTGGTAAACATTTGTTGCACTCCCTATGTAGCCAGAACATCCTGCTTCAGATAAAGGGATCAAAACTGCACATAATACTCCAGGTGTGGTCTCACCAAGGCTGTGTACATGTGCAGCAGGACATCCCAGCTCCTGCACGTGAGTACTTTCGCTATGAAGGCTTACAAACCTCTTGCCTTCTTCACTGCCTGCTGCACCCGCATGCTTACTTTCAGCAGTTGGTGTAATAGAACACCCAGATCTCATTGCACCTCTCCTTTCCCAATCTATCATCCTTCAGATAATATTCTGTTTCTGCTACCAACGTGTATAACCTTACCTTTATCCACATTACACTTCATCTGCCTTGCTTTTGCCCACTCATTCACCTTGTCCAAATCACAGTGAAGCATCTCTGCAAGTTTGCAGCTAGTAAATGGTAGAGTGCTACAGGGATTGGTATTGGAGCTATAGTTATTTACCATATGTATCAATGACTTGTGGATGGGGAAAGTGAATGTACGATTGCAAGTTTTGCAGATGACAAAAATAGGCTGTAAGGCGAGTAGTGATCATGAAGATTTTGCAAAGGAATAGAAACAGGTTAAGAGAGTGGGCAAAAACTAGGCATATTGAATATAAAGTGGGAAAGTGTAAGGTTATGCACTTGGGCAGGAATAATAGACGGGCTGAATATTACTTAAATAGAGAAACATTTCCGAATGCTACAGCGCAGAGGGATTTGGTGTTCTTGTGCGCAAATGACAAAAAATCTAGCAAACAGGTCCAGCAGGTAATAGGGAAGGCAATTGGAATGTTGGTCCTTATTCCAAAGGGAATCAAGTATAAAAAATACGGCATTGTCTAGATCCTCCTTAACAAGATAGACAACTCCAACCAGAATGTTATGAATGAATCTGACCAGGTGTCCCACAGCACCAAAATGGTCAAATCACGACGAACACACGCAAGTACCAATGTAAAACATTCCCAAGCTTATTAGGAAACAAGTTACAATAGCTTTTACCACAAAACAGTACTATCTCTAATCCTATTTGGCCCCTTAAGCTCACAATAGTTATCGAGTCTGTTATAGATTTGTGCAGTCGCTCTCTATCTCTCTGTCTCGGTGGGACTGCAAAGCTGCTTTCTCTCTTTCTCTCTCTCTCTGGGTGGTCAGCAGGCCTTTGGCCATGCTGTTCTCATCAGAAGAGGGTCTGAGAGGGTGGTCTGCAGGTGAACCCTGTTTTTATACCTTTTTAGATGATTTTCTGCAACTTTCTATAGTTCTGTCCAATCAGGGAGACTCACTTAATATTTCAACATGTTATCAATCATTTGGATAGCTTACCATTATTTATTTGTGTAGCAGGATCCAGTGCCTTTCTGCCTGGGCCCTTCTTTTTTTGATGGATAAATTGTTGGGCATATGAATGTGCAGGAGAACTGTTGTAGACAAACAGGAGGCTGGAAGAACACAGCAAGCCAAGCAGCATCTGGAGGAAAGGAGAAGTGAACATTTTGGGTATTACCCTTCTTCAGGACTTCATAATTATTGCTTTTTACATATGCTAATGTCATTAGGACCTAGCTGCCGTGTTTGCACACTGCCTGGTGTGTGGATTTTGTGACTTCAGAGTTTTACTTGACCAATGTACCCAGCATCCCTTGCTGTTTGGCAGAGTTAGCAATCTACCTGTGTTTTAGCAGTGAGGAGACTGCTACAAAGGCGTCTTGCTAAAACCATGCAAGGCATGAGTCACAGCACAGCTGGAATACTGAGAACAGCTTTTGGTCCCTTACTTAAGAAAAGATATACCGGCATTGGAGGCAGTCCAGGGAAGGTTCCCTGGGCTGACACCAAATATGAAGGAACTGTCAAACACAGAGAGATTCAGTAAATTGGTCCTTTATTCATTGAAGTTTAGCAGAATGAAAGGTGACTTTATTGAAACATACAAGACCTTTAGGGAATTAGACTGGGTAGATGCAGAGATATTATTTTCCCCTTGTGGAAAACTCTAGGACTAGAGGGCATAAGTTCAGAATAAGGGGTTGCGCATTTAAGATAGAGATGAGGCAGAATTTCATCTCGCTGGAGAAATGAATTTATGGATTTCTTTACCTGTTGAGGCTGGGCCATTTAAGTATATTGAAGGCTGAGATAGACATTTTTAAACAGTAAGGGAATTGTGGGTTACCGGGTAAAGGCAGGAAAGTGGAGTTGAGGATTATCAAATCAGTCATGATCTCATTCAGTGGTGGTGCAGGTGGGCTGAATGGCCCACTTCTGCTCCTTGGGCTTATAGTTTTATCCAAGTATCTAGTGAGGTAATATTTCTCCTGGTTACTTCCTGTGTCATTGTTAATTCTGTCTCTATACAAAGACTTGGTTGGCAGTGTTTGATCTGGAAAATTCAGAGCATGTGAGTAAGGTAATTTCCAAATTCCTTAGCAGATTCATTTGTCTTTTATGGCATGACATGTCCAGGTTAACTGTTGTGGATTACTTCAGCAGGATCAAGTTTGAATCAATCAGTATGTGTCACCAAATCAGAATTCATTTGGAGAGGGAATTTGAATCCAACTTCAAATAAACTAGCAATTTGAATTAAGTATCAAGCGACCTGCATATTTTCAATTAGTATCTTCTGTGCAGTTCAATCTGAATTAGCAGGTGACTCAAGTTAAGAAATTTTAAATTAAATAAAACAGACCAGTATGGTATTTTTAAATCCCGGACCTGAAGGGTTACTGGATTTATAACTATGTAGCATTTGAAAATAGATTAAATTTATGACATAGGACCTGAAACTATATTGAGTTTGTGATATGCAACATGCAATATTGGAAATTTATGTTTGACAGTGAAAAATTCCCCATCTTGCATGTATTAAACATTCTTAGAGACAAGCGCCAGGATAGAAAATTTGTTGTTAGCAAAAGGGATAATGAGTTGTGTGGAACCCACTCACTTAAATGCGTAAATTGCACACTAAATGATTTAATGTCAATTTGTTCATTACAGAGTATATAAAATATTTGATTTTTTTGTGACAGTGTAACTTCTTTTGTCTTGTGTCATAAACTCATTGGACATTTTAATGCTATTTGTGTCTTATTTAACAATTCCTCTTCCTTCTCTAATTCCTTGTTTTAAATAAATTGCCTTCTTGCTAAAGTTTTCTTCTGTGCTCTGGTTCCACTTTGTGACCAGTCTCAGATGGTCTTGCCATAGAATCTGCAGGCTAGTGAATAATGATAGTATTACAAACAAATCCCGTCTTGTACTCATTAGATACGTTCATTCATAGCGATATACCAGTGGATGCTGAGTAGCAATAAATGAACTGCAACTCTTGCTAAGCTTTCTAGTCTCAAACTCAGGGCACTGACTGCTGATGTGCTACCCTGTGTCTCTGTAGCTAAGACTGACAGATTTAGCACAAACTAAGGTGTGACCTTGGGCCCTTTCCACATACTCACTAAACTTCATTCATGAAGGCTCTGTCTCCATATTTCTACACAGGAAGTAACTATTTTTCCCAGAATGCCATTTGAAAATTCTATTCCTGATGGTGATTAATTTAAGAAAGTTAAATCCAATGCAGTTGAATGTTCAGAAATTAATAACTTGCCAAGGAGTTTTTTTTAAGTCTGTGGTGATAAACAATTTTATGCGTGCAAAAATAATGTACAATGTCATCTGCAACCATCGACAATAGAGACATGTTCGCTTTCCACTTCCTTCCGAACAGTTTTAGATCCACTTCAACTACCAATGAAGCACGCAAATAAAGATGTAAACCAGATTATTATTGTTTACCTTATGTAGAGTTCATCTCACATGGAATAAATTATGCAAAAGACAGACCATTACCAGGCAAAAACAAATTCAGTGGTCTGCCACTCTGTATGAAAAGCAGATGTGTTGTTCAGCAGTGTTTATTTCCACACCTGCTGTAAAATCTTGCATACTCATTTTTAAGGAAATTTTTGTTACACCATTCTTAAGAATTACTACAGCAAAGGAAAATCTAAGCCACTTTTATCAAACAAAGGCTCCCGCAGTGCAGAGATTTTAATTTGTAAGTGCTGTAGAATGCAAAATGTAATAGGAGTGACAAATACTGTACACTTAACTTTATGAATGTTGATTCTGTCTGTGCGATACCAGCTTTGCTTGGGCTATATCAGTTGAAGGTCGAGTGAGCTGTAATAGCCAACTTTGTGTAAATATAAGATTGTAAGGGTCTATAGATTATTAAAACAGGATCCAGTAAATGAGGAAATAGAAGTGGTTTTACAATGGCTCAACATTTTTTCATATTCTTGCTAATGTTGTTCACTGCTTCTATATATCTTGTTTTTTTTTTTATTTTCCCAGTGGTTTTTGGACAGTTTGCACATTTTCAGACAGCACTCAATGATGTCGTGGAGCTGTTTGATGGACACAGCCAGCAAGCCAGGCTTCTCGGTTCACTTTCGGGATCACACTCCGGTAACTTGTTAACTTCTCAAATGAGTTCACCAGAACGTGATAAGCAGATGAAGGCTGGTACAGTGTTTTCTGAGGTGCAGGTACAGGCTGGCACAGTGATTGCAGGTGTAGACTTGCAGTGAATTCTGATTGTAGAGCAAGCTAGCACATTGATTTCTGATTGCAGTGTGCATTCCTGTGAAGCAGTTGAACATGGGATAGCATCTGTCATATTTTGTAATATTTTTCACATGGACCACAACAGAAAGTCTTTCAGCCACCTGTTTAAGCCTGATATTGGCAGAGGCCAGGAGGGCATTTTCACTGCCTGTTCTCTCAGCGCAAAATGAAATGTGACGTAGAAGATACGGAACAGAACAGAAAGATGCAATTGATGCTGTGATATCACCACATTGTAGAAAATATACAAACCGAAGGAAACTTGATGTAATGAAAGTGAAGAGAATGTTTTGTTTTCTCCATATTTAACAATCCTTTAAAAATGTAGAAATAGTGAGATTCAAGCATTTAATTCCCAGGAATGGTATGAGGTTAATAAGTGCATTTGTTAAGTGAAATGCTTTCTCCTGTCTTTCATGAGGAAGAATTGTGTTTTTACATCGTCTTAGGAGGGAAGTTGTTATGGCAACTGTAACCTTTGAATTTGTTTGGTGCTGTTCCAGCTCCGAGACAGCTTCCAACTTTGAGACAGCTGATACAAAACAACATTGTGTCCACTCATTGAAGGAAACTAGAACAAATATTATGTCAGACATCAGTTTTCTCTTATTTGAATAGGGAGAAAAAAATCTAATGACTGAAATTTAACAGACAATACCAAGCATTCTGTGAAATGACTGGAATATGCACCAGGTGAATTTATCCTTCTTCTGTTTCCAAAGAATCCATACAATGTGGAAACAGGCCCTTCGGCCCAACAAGTCCACACCGACTCTTGGAACATCCTGCACATCTTTGGACTGTGGAAGGAAACCAGAGCACCCAGAGGAAACCCACACAGACATGGGGAGAATGTGCAAACTCCACACAGACAGTTACCCAAGGGTGGAATTGAACCCAGGTCCCTGGTGCTGTGAGGCAGCAGTGCTAACCACTGAGCCACTGTGCCACCCCTAATTTTGTCTGCTGTGGAGTCCTTAGGCCAAGCAATCTGCAAGTAGAAGAGTGGACAGGAGTGAAAAATATTCTGCATTGGTCGCCAAAATAATGTTCCTTAGAAACGATTGTCCCTTTGATCCCCTCTCCTCTCCATGGTTTCAGTTATCGTTTTACTGGACAGTTGCAAATGACATGCAAAGCTCCACAACATGGACATTGACCCTGTGTGTTACTACACCACAACAGTTACACATCCAACAGTAACTAAACTAACCAAGGTTATATATTGGATGATTTTATCAATACTTACTCAATAAAATTTTTACTTTTTTCAAAAAAAGTACGTTGTACTGAACTGTGAAGAAGCATGCCTATCTCATGATTAACATGCTTTTCACTTTTTTTAATATATTGTCACTTCCATTAATTTTTTTTTACTGCCCTCAACTTTTGTCCCTTCCTGTTGATAGGAGCCGCAATCACTGATCAACCTGTGGTAGCTTGTAGCATTCTTTGGTTGGGAACTGCAGCAGGAAGTGAACTGTAACAAATTGAACTCTTACAGCACCCTCACCCTGTGTACCAAGCACTGGACATTGTTCGCCATTGTTTTAAATACTTAACATCCAGAATCTTAATTTCTAATGCAAGTTAATTTTACATTTTTGATGTGACAGGTATAAAACAGTTTCTAATACCTTATTGCCTTGGTGAAACAAACTGTGTTTATGAAGTCCTGGTACAACCCTAAATAAAAGGCCAGCCCTGTGCTATGGCTGCGAGAACAGGAGACTGTGAGTCAAACATTCACTGTTCAAGGTTGAAAAAATGCTGCACCAAGGAATTCAATGAACAAATGGATGAAAATTTTCTCTTGTGCGTATATTCAAAGTTATTCACTTTTATGGTTGAACCAAGTAGCTTATGATCCAGTGACAGACTTTTTTTTTGGTGAAAAACAAAACTTCATGGCTTTGTTTGTTTATTGTGTAATGTAACTATGCCCTATAGTCTCAACTTGATATTTTCCTTCTTTAGGAGAGACCCTGCCTCTGGCCACATCAAACCAGATATTGCTCAGGTTCAGCGCTAAGAGTGGAGCATCATCCAGGGGTTTCCACTTTGTTTATCAAGGTAAAGGATTCAGATTGACTGGTTTCCTCAGAAGGCTTGAAATGAACCTTAGATGATACACCAAGTGCTTAAAAAGGAAGTCAATGTCTCTAATGACCATTTCATTTTGGTTCAACAAACCTAAAAAAATTGCACCTTGTCAGAAGCTCCATCTAAACTCATGAGCAGTATGTGTGAAAGAGTCTCCATCCACATGAATTTTTTATTTTCCAAATTTTCAGCACTTGCCATGGTATCTCTGGAGTGGGACATTTGGGCAGCAAAAAATTGTAAAGTGCGTTTCTTGAAAGGAAAAGCTGTCAAAAAAATTTCTATCACCTCTCCATTTGCTTTACCACATGTGCCCTTTTCAAAGGAACTTTCTATCATCTGTGTGAGGTTGTGATGCTACCTGTGCCTTTTCATTTCATATCTAGTCTTTGTACAATTGATACCAAAATAAGTAGTGCAGTACGCTGGTGTCCAGAAGAGACGAACTTCTGCAATTAATAGAAAATTAATTTCATAATTTAAGCAACAAATAGATTAATGAAAGATAGTTGTTCATGAAGCTTGTGTATAATTTTGGGAATGGAATAAATGAATTTGTTTTTTGCTTGAACAATTTTATCTCAGATGAATCCTGTTCTACTCCGTTTGTACCCGTACTTGAACAGTTACTTAGTGTTCAGGGAAATGACCAAATGTGATCTAAAATGGTGAAGCAGGCCAGAGGAGGTGAATAGCCTGCTCCTGTGTTCCTACTTTAAAAACAGTAATGCATATACAAACATGACATAGCTCAACATTGTAATTTGTAAGAATAAATTGTGGTGTTGAGCCTGGGATTTGATCAATGAAAGCAGTCAGCATCCTTAAATTTGATGTGGATCCATGAAATGTTTTGTTTTGTTTTTAAGGCTGCAAATCAATCCAAGTCTAAATCTGCTGAACCAGATTTTGGCATTAAGTCATATTTTTATTCCACCACAGCTTCCCAGGCTGGTTACAGAACATCGAAATTCAGTTTTTGGTTTTATCGAGAAAATATTGATGGGAATACATTGGCCATTGGCATGGAGAAATAATGGGAATTTTAACTGAGACAAAGTGAGAAGGTCTTGTAAATGGTTAAAAAGGACTTAAAATGGCAACACATTGGCTGCAGTTCACCAACGTCTGCGCTTAAATTCAACGTGAGGAGTTCTGTGCAAGAAGCTCCCTCAGGAAGATTACCAATTCAATTCCCACCCACACCACCCCCCGACCTCATTAAAAAGATGTAATGAGATTTTTAAATTTACCTCTAAGTGCACAAATTTCCTGGGCTTTCTGGAAATCCCTGATGAAAAAAAGTGAGTGAACAGTCAAAATTGAGAAGGCTAAATAAATGGAAGACAAAGAATTGTCAAATTGGATGAAATACACCTCTTAAAGCCACAGCATCGTCACTCAAGGACGTGTTTTATTTTAGGAAGTTGGATTTCATGCTTTCATGAGACAACTGGCATTAGGTATCTTTGGCTTAACATAACTCCCCTGTAGTAGTGATTCTGAGTAACAGCCTGTCACTGAACTAAAGATAATATTCCCCAGCATTGACTCGGATTCCCTTTGTGTCAAAGGCTTAGATGGGGCAGAATTTTTAGGTATATCCCGAAGGGTTTCTTGAAACAATATGAAGACGGTTGAACGAGAGAATGGGCTGTATTAGATGTTGTATTTGGGAATGAGCCTGGCCAGGGGATCAAAACTTCAATGAGGAAGCATTTTGGGAACAGTGATCATAATTCTGTTAGTTTTAAGACAGTTATGGATAAGGATAAGACTGGTTCTCCAGTAAAAGTGCTAAATTGGGGGAAGACTAATTGCAACAGTATTAGGCAAGAACTGGAGAAATTAGATTAGATGTGGCTGTTTGAGGGTAAATCCATATCTGACATGTGGGAGTCTTTTAAAGGCCAGTTGATCAAGGTTCAGGAGCAGCACGTTCCTGTGAGGATGAAAGTCAAGATGAAAGATTTAAGAACTTTGGTTGACAACAGTTATTGAAAGTTTAGTCAAATAAAAAGAAACATATGCAAGGTTCAGGAAACTAAAATCAATAAAGTCCTTGAGGAAGCAGAAAAGAGCCTAAACAAGAAATCAGAAAGAGTTGAAGGAGCCACTAACTGTCCTTGGCAAGCAGGATTATGGAGAATCCTAAGGAATTTTATAAACGTACTAGGAGCAAGGGAGTAACTATGGAAAGGATATGTCTACTCAATAATAAAGGAGGGAATGTGTGCCTGAAGCTAGAGTAAGTGGGTGAGATCCTTAATAAGTACTTCATGTTGTCATTCTCCAAACAGAAGGGCATGGATGGTGGTAAGATTAGAAAGGGGTAGTTGAAAAGAGGAGAGAGCGGTATGTTGATATTTTGGAGCACATCAATTTCAAGAAGGAGGTGGTGATAGATGCCTTGAAAAACTTCAAGGTAGGTGAGTCCACTGGGCTTGTTGGGATCTATCTCAGAAGACTGAGGGAATTAAAGGAGGAGATTGCTCGGGCTTTGACAGAAATCTTTGCATCCTCTTTAGCCACTTGCAAAGCCCTAGAGACTGAAGACTAGCCAGTGTTATTCCTTTATTTAGGAAGGGAAACAGGGATAATCCAGGAAATTATGGGCTGATGTGCCTTACAACAGTGATAGGGAAATTATTGGTAAAGATTCTTAGGCACAGGATTTACATGTATTTTGAGAACAATGGACTTATTAGGGATAGTCAGCATGTCTTTATGTAAGGGAGGTCTTATCTCACAAACCTGATTGAGTTTCTTGAGGAAGTAACTAAGATGATTGAAGGTAGGACAAAGGATATTGTCTGCATGGACTTTACTAAAACATTTGAGAAGGTCTTTCATTGTAGGCTGATCCAGAAAATTAAGTTGCATGGTGTGTTGGCAAATTAGATGCAAAATTAGTTTGGTTATAGCATACAGAGGATTGTTGTGGAAGGGTGTTTTACTGACTGGAGGTCTGTGACCACATTTGGATGAAAATGTAAGTGGCCTGATTGATAAGTTTACAGATGATACGAAATCTGTTGGAGTTGTGGATGGTGAGGAAGGTTGTTAAAGAATGCAGTAGGATGTGGAACATTTGGAATGTAGATGGGGTTCAATTCAGACACAAGTGTGAGGTGATGCATTTTGGAAGGTCAAATGCAAGATGGAAGTATACAGTAAATGGCAGGACCTTTAGGAGCATTTATGTACAGAGGGATCATGGGATCCAAGTCCATAGCTCCCTGAAAGTGGCAACACAAGTGAATAAGGCAAGTGATTAATTGGGTATTTGTCATGATCAGCACAAAGGCTTGTATCTTTGAGTCACTCATACTTGAGACAGACTTTTCTAATCTCTATTCAAGCATGCACTGTGTGGCTGAAAGGCTTACAGAATGTCACACATTTCCTGCTGCTGCTCTAGAATAGTCAATTGCATCAAATGTCTCCAGAGGATCTGCACCTGTGTTCAGCGGAGTAGAGCTTGGCCAGGCCTTCACCCCTAGCCAAGGAGTCCCCATTGCATAGTCAGTCTTCACCACCTGATCTTGTTCATTTATAATACTTAAGACACCAGGTGACAACCAAACCATTTGGTTAGGTCAGGGTGGGTGTATCTGAGCAGGACAACATTAAAAAACTTCAGCTGAAATTCACCAATTGCATCTCATCAAGACACCTTGCTTCTGCTGCCTGGAAAAAGAGATCTTTGTTACTACTGCAACAGCAAGGTCAAAAAGCCACTGCCAAAATTTCAGGTTCACACACACCACTGGGCTTTCCTGCTATGAGCAGCATTGATGAATTCAAGTTCAACCCGTTATGTTAGAATACTCGCATGTTACACACCTGAGTCAGTATCTAGATTTATCATTGGAAATCTGAATTCCAGACTGCAGCCTGGCTGTAGGAATTTTAAGGCTCTTCTCAAGCATAACAAAATAGAGCAGTCTGTTAACCCCCTTAGAAGAAGCCAGCGACCTATCTGTTTCTTAATCCATGATGCATGACCGGAGGATTTGGAATGCCCTTTCTCAAAAGACTGTGCATGCAGAACCTTTAAATATTTTTGAGGCAGAGGTAGCTCACCGAAGGGATGAAAGATTATCGAGGGTGTGCAGGAATGTAGAGTTCAGATTAAAGTCAGATCAGCCATGGTCTTACTGAATGGCAGAGTAGGCCTCAGGGGCCAAATGGCCTACAATTGTTCCTTATTCATATGAAAGAAGGGGAGCACAGAAAAAACAAACAAGAGTGAAAGAAGAGCATAGCAAACATGATAATGTTTTACTAAGATAAAGTAAACAGCCATTATTAACCAATTATCATTTACTTCCATTTTTGTTTGTCATTGATAACACTCTGCACAAAATCTGCATCAATATTTCCAGCATAGGATTCACTAATTTTGCTGAACAAGCTGATGAAGATTGAGGATTGACACTTCCTTAATTTATTGACTTTTGTATGTTTTGTGCAGAGACTATCATTTTTCTTCAACGTGCAGAGGATTTTGTTGGTGTGTAAAAGTGTTGATGACTTTACTGCAATAGGGTAGAGAATGAAGTTATTGCAGAGTTTGGAAAGGTACACCTTTTCTGGTCCCAGTCCTAGTCACAAAAGAAATATTAACCAAGTTGGTGCTACAGCAAAGTATTAAGTCTCAGACAGTGTCAGGTTCGGTACTGACAACCAGTCAGCCAGGATTTTATAATCAACAGCAATCAACTCATTTATGACTAAAAAGAAATTTATTCAAACAAGTATGCAATGAGACAAATAGCTTCAATCATGCAAATAATATACTGCTCTTCAGAGAAACTAACGTATACACAATTCTGAGGAGAGGCATGTTACAGAGATGAGGTCGACACCTCTCTGATAATTAGAACCAAAACTCCCAGAGAAGCTCGCCTTACCCTGTAATCTATTAAAGGAAATGTGAAAAGTGGTATAATCTGCCTCTCACCTCC